TACCATGTGACTCCACCCCTGCATATACCATACTTAATCAGTTTGCTTGGTGTGTGTGTCCCTGAATATATGTTTTCATATAGGTTTGTATTTTAGACCTCACTTCCATATGAGAAAAAACATGTACCTTTTGTCTCTCTGAGCCTGACATGTCACTCAGCATACTTTTTTCCAGGTCCATTCATTGGGCTTTCACTTTTTGTGGAGCACCGTGCCCTCTGAGCAGTCAGAGCTGATAAGGATGGGGGAAAGAAGCATCCTGTTTGGAGCTGGCTTTAAGTCTATTCTGCTTCCACTGGCCTTCTTCTTCCCCCACAGAGCTGCTAGAGATGGAGGTGAGGACACTGGCAGGCAGGCCAAGGACAGGAAAGGAAGCTAGCGTATTGTGTTGTTTTGCTGCCTAAGGAGCCTGGGGAAGAAGGGTTTGTTTGCGCTCATAGTTTTGCTATCTGGAGGCAGGAGAAGCAAGCATGAGGTTCAGGCTAGTATTTCTGAAGGCAAGGGGTGTTTTCTCAGCTATAGCTCTGGCATAGCAGGAAGAACAGGAGTGATAGCTCCAGCTGTCCAAGGCTGGAAGCAAGGAAGGAGGAGGGGATTAGTATTAAGGCCTCGATGCAGATCCAGAGTGCCAGTCCTTGCTTTGTTATGAGTTAGTGTTCTTAAGTCTTTAATTTTAAAAAAATGTTATTATAAAGGTGATGTACAGAGGGGTTACAATTATATAAGCCTATTAAGTCTTTTTGAAAACCATGTCATGGACATGGTTCTGTTAGCTGCACCGTTTATGTTGAAGATCATGTAGAAGTTGGTAATCTGTCATTCTCCAACTGCTCTCCACGTTAATGCACTCCTCCCCTACTTGTTAATCCTCCAAGATACTAATTTTCAAGTGATTGCTAATTTTTGCATTTTCTCAACCCCAAGGTTGTGGTGAGGTTGGGTTGTGGCATGTACACGACTTTCTGTCTCCATCTCTCATTTCCCGAGTGGAGCTGGACTGCACTAATTGACCTCGAGGGTCTCAGCTGTGCTAAGTTGGGTGTTTGTTAGATCTCGTTAGGCTTGTAATTAGTGCAGGGAATCTAGGTCAGAGGCAAACCATAGGAGCGATGATCTCCTGGGGCATGAATAAAGGTGAAGAATAGCAAACAGGTTCCTCATTCTGGTGATGGGGTGAGCCAGGGACAGGGGAGGATGGGGTGTGGTATACACAGACAGACACAAGGTCACAAGTAGAAAGGCACTCAAACTGTGTGTGTGTGTGTGTGTGTGTGTGTGTGTGCCTCCCGTTTTACTCCGGTTTCCTTCCAACCTCTCCATATATGGTGTGGCTCTAGAGCAGGCTGGGGATTGGCTGCTGTTGTTGGGAGACGGAGCTGGGAGGAAAGCAGAAAAAGAAATGAACTGAGAGCTTAGGGGAGGGCGTGAGAATGGGGGGGGGGTAGCCAGGCTCTAAGGGTTGCAGAGAGAGTGGGGCTAGGTCTGCTTGCCAGAGAGATTTAGTGGATGGAGGAGGAAATTTCCTGTTGGCAGAGGGGTTGGGAGAGTGGCTGGGGAAGGAGGCAAGAGCTATTTCCCAGGGGTCCCAGCTCTAGGCTTAGTGCAGGTTGGTTTAGCAGAGGTGGAGTAGGGGTTAGATAAACCTGTGCCTTTTTTACTTTCTTCTTTTATTTTCTTGTGTTGTTCCTCCTTTCTCTTCACCCTAGACAACCTACAGCTATGCTGTGAAAATTGCATGCAAATCAGCTCATCAGCTTTCCAGGCCGGCTCCTCAGACATTCTTTCTAATGGAGGAAGATCAGGACTGTATTTTTTTTTTTTTTAAATCAGCTCTCCCAACCCCTTCCAAACAATTTAATGGGGGAGAAAGAGAAAAGAGGAGGAAAATGCCATTGAAATAGGAATGAAGCATCTGGTTCTTTATCTGTGTCTACCCCTCACCCATTTCAACCCTGTTCGGGGTTTCCCCCTCCCCATATTAGGACTTTCTCTCTTCCAGTTCATTTGTGTAAGAAAAAAATGATAGCAAAAGTTGTTGGGAGGGAAGGAGGAAGGAAGGTAGGAATAGAAACATTCTGAAAACTGTCCCTCTGCAGCTGTGCAGGAAGAAAGTTGCCCTGTGTAGGCTCAGAGCTCTTCTCTTCCCTACCCAACCCATCATCCATTCACCACAAAACAGCAACTGGGTAGAAGGAAGGGCAGTTTTGCAGGAAGAGATTAGAATGATAGAGGGAGGGAGGGAAACACTGGTGAAATGGAAACAAGAGTTTGAGTACCATCCTGTCTCTAGCACATAAAGGCACATATTTTCACTAAAAGAAATTTTGCTAGTTTCCCACCACAACCATACACTTTAAGCTGCTTTTCTAGTGGAAAGCCTGGCTTTGGATTTAGTTTTGAAATTCTTTTTTTGGGGGGGTCGGTCGTGGGACTGGAACTCTGGGCCTGGGCACTGTTTCTGAACTCTTCAGCTCAAGGCTAGCACTCTACCATTTGAGCCTCAGTGCCACTTCCGGTTTTCTGGTGGTTAATTGGAGATGAGAGTCTCACGGACTTTCCTACCTGGGCTGGCTTTGAACCATGATCCTTGGATCTCAGCCTCCTGAGTAGCTAGGATTACAGGCCACTGTAATCCACTGGTGCCTGGCTTTTTTTTTTTTTGTGCCAATCATGGGGCTTGAACTTGGGGTCTGGGCACTGTCCCTGAGCTGCTGCTCTTTTGGCTTTTTCTGTTTATGTAGTGCTGAGGAATTGAACCCAGGACTTTGTGCATGCTAGGCAAGCACTCTACCACTGAGCACATTCTCAGCCAGCTCTGAAATTGTTGAAACCCAGGAATCAGGCCTCTCTCTTTTTCAAGTCTTTAGCTTTATGCCTGCTAAACTCTTTGACCAGAGGTACGGGCACAGCCTGTGGTGTGATCAAGTGTGTGGGTTAGAACAGTGACCATGATTAACCCTTCTTCACTGTGCTCTGGCCACCTGAGCTGACTGCTGGTTGCTTACGAGCCAAACTAATAATAGCAACCCCAGCAGCCATTTATTGACAGGCATTTTCCATATGTTGCCTTTGCCTATTCAACAGCAACTGCAATTTGCAGACAAGAAAATTGACACTTGGAAAGAGTGTTTTTGCCCAGGGCCTCATAACCATAAAGTAGCAGGGTCAGAACTTGAGTCCAGACCTCCTTTCCAAACTGGGCTCATTTCATCACATTACGGCTTGGTGTTGGAGCAATGGCTGGCAAACTGAAAGTTGTTGGTTTTGGTATCCGAAGATCCCAGCACTGAGTGACCAGCTCTTCTCAGTCCCCTGGGAGTCCCTGATCTTTCTTCTGCTTCTTGTCACTGTCACTCTCCCCAGTATCTTCCTTGCTTTCTGGCTCCCCTTGGTGTCACAGATGATTGGCATGTTGGGACACATATGCCATTCTTGCTTTTGTCTTTTTCTTCATTATGTAGGAGTGAGAAGGAAGAAAAAGAAAGGGAAAACACTGGTTTTAAAAAAAATCCCAAGATAGTGATTTATAGAAAGTATAATTTTAACTCAGATGTGTAGAATTTGTAGCAATGAGTAGCTCTGATAATCATGCTTGTTTTAGAGATTGGAGCTTATTTGAATGACTGAAGCCCTGATTCCTTCAACTCAGCACCCAGGAGAACCTGAGTGACAAATGAAATGGCATCCTTGTGCCTGTTCCTTGGTTCAAGTAGGTAATCAACTACAGGCTAGATGTAGAACACATGAAATTGAGTGTGGAGACTTGATATGGTTCAATGTGGGCATTTGACATTGCCTCCATGGTGTGGGAGTACATCTGAAGAATGGGAAGACTTTCTCCCAAAGGGGTTTCTTTTCTCTTACTTGCCTCCTTTTCCTGACATTAGAAGACCCTCATTGTTAGGATCTACGAGCAGTTCTTCTCCCCCCTCCCCCCACCACTGAAGCTCTTGGACTTAGCCACTGGGAGTGAGGTAGATACTTGATTCAGTAGGCATTATGTCCTTTTCTTTCAAATACATCATCCCCACGTGGCCTGCTCTTCTCTGGACCTTTATCACTGTGGCTGGACCTGACCTTAGAACCTTTAGAGAAAAGCAGCACAATGCTCTGCAAGGAAGCCTGGCAGCACAGCAGTCAGGCGGGGTGGTGCTGTGGGCAGAGCTGTTTTTCTAAAGCTGGGCTGGTCAGTGTTTAGGAGAGGTTTAAGGAAGGAGGGGGAGAGGCTACAGGAAACCCTCTCTTAATCGAAAGAGGAACCGGGTCATAGGTTTGGTTTTCCCCTGCATCCTACAAAAACTGCATCACAAGTCAGTTTCACTCTTAGTTCAATTCTTCCATGGAGTCAGCTCTCTCCAGTTTCCATGCTAGTCATCCCTACCCCCCAGTCAAATGACTGAACTAGTCCCATCCATCCCAGTTGGTGTCTTTGAATTTATGCTGGGAAGGGCATAGAAGAAGAAAGGAGGAAGCACCTCAAATAAGAAAGTCTAGATGGTTCAATCCTTTTTTTTTCCTGTCCCGGGAATTGAATCCAGGGCCTCATGCATGTTACGCAATAGGTTGCTTGAACTATAAGCCAAGCCCCAGGCAGCTTGATGTCAGTCAGACTGTTATAAGTGAGAAGCCAGGGTTAGAGGCTGGGGAGAGTTTAATTCCACATATGCTCCTCAGAGCTGGAATACATTGCACTTCTCCTATGGCATGGACAGGTGGCCCTGGCCTCCACATCCCTAGAACTAGAATTGCACAGCTGAAATTTCACCCTCAAACTGAAAGCCTGGAATGGGACATACGAGAAAACCTCTTGTTCCCCAGACCTCTCTAAAGCTAGATCCCTGAGCACGTACTTGTCCGCTCCCTACTAGGTCTAGAGGCAGGTGGTGTGTGTAAAATGAGCAGACTGTGTTGTTATCACCCATTCTGTTTAGGTGAAAGCTCCTTATTATTGCTACAGTGTCACCCCCATCTCAGTAAGGTAGGTAAGGAAAGAAGGGTCATGAGGGCATCACACATCAGCAAAAACAATGAGTTTGATTTTTTTTTTTTTGATCGAGGTAAATAAAAAAGCTTCATCCTGCAACACTTGGAGATAAGTCTGTTTGTCCCCCATGAGTTCCAGACCCCTCCTTTCACATCAGGCTCTTCCGGTACTGAGTGTGCTGGGTGGTCTGTCTGAGGTGGGTGTCAGGGCTCTGCAGGTCCATCTGTCTGTACAGGTCCCTTAGCTCCCTGACTTCCTGCAGCACCTTTTTTGCCTGGCTCCAGTTCGACGACGCTTCTCCCAGCAGCCGCTCTGTCTCCAGCAGCAGCTGCTCCGACTCAGAATCAGGTGGAGACTGTGGAGGGTCCTTGGCCTTTCGCTTGCCATCTCCCAGTCCCTGAACCTCTGCCAGCAGCTCTTGAGTCTTCTCCAGTTTCCTTGCTACCAGGTCCTGGATCCGGGACAGCTGTCCTGGGTGGGGTGGGCTAGGAGTTGGGGATTCCTCAGCTTGCAGGTGGAGGGTTCGGGCTGGGCCAGTGTCCCGCTGAGACAGGATCTCCTCAAGGGAGGCACAGCGGCTTTTCTCTGAGGGGGTCAACTTCTTCGGTGCCTGGGGAGTATAGGTGGCCCCCTTGTCTGGCTTTTCCCAAGGTCGAGGAAGGCTACTTGCCCTGTACGAGGAGGGCTGGATCCGGTCCGAGTCAGCTCTCCGCCGACTGCTGGCTAGCTGGGCCACTGTCTTGTCCAGGTCCACCCGAAAGCTCTCAGCACAAGAGGTTGGCTCCTCAGGGGAAGGATCTTCCTCTTGGATCAGGTCCAAGGTCAGCATCCCATCTGAGGTAGAGGTGGAAGCCTGGGGAGGAAGAGGGTGGGAAAAGGAAAAAAAAAGATAAATCATCTTCAGAAGGGCTTCCAGGAATGATGCCTGAAAGATGGATGGTGTGCTATCATTTCCTTCCTCAGGGAGCCTTCCCTGGATGAGAGAGAAAGCCTTCTGCTCTCTGCCATTTCGTTTGCCTTTGATGGTGATTGGAGCTTTCTTCTACTTTTCTGTGACAATGTAATTTTGCCTGCTCTTTTTCTGCTTTCCACTATGCTGTAAGTTTCCAGAGGCATCTACTCCCTCTGGATTGTAGACCCAAACATTACAGTGGACTTGACCCAGACGCTCCAAACAGCACAGGAACTGTTCTTGCCCATCTGCATCTCCTCACATACCTCAGCCTGCTCTATTTGAACTATGAACCCTTTATCATGTAATAAAGCTTGCTCTTTTATTTTCAGCATACTGTAATTTTAAAAAGTTGTATTCGTTATTTCATATATAGTTATACATATTTGTTTTGTTTATTCTTCACTTAACCCTGTAAGGTATATGTCATCACTGCCATACTAGACAGACATGAATGGACTGCAAAGCCAGGTTCCAACTCAGGGTCTACTAACACCAAGGCCTCTGCTCCTCCTACTATACCTGACTGCTTCTCTACAAGACACTGCCACTTTATTTGTTTCACTGGCACTTGCTCCGAGTACATGTGGTACTTAATGTTGTTGCCATTCAGCAGAGCTTGGGACTTGAACTCAGGGCCTCTCAATCTCATTTGGCTTTTTTACTCAAGGTGCCATAGCATTCTACCACTTGAGCTGCAACTCTCCTTCTGGCTTTTTGCTAGTTAACTGAATATATGAGTCTCACAGACTTTTTATTTCCAAGTTGGCTTTGAACCTTGATACTCAGATCTCAGTCTCCTGAATACTTAGCATTGCAGGAGTGAGCCACCAGTGCCTGGTATGACCTGTACCTTCTGCACAGCATTTATCTCTTTGATTTTTTGCTTTAGAAGTATGTATCTTTCTTACTTTCCCCAAAAGACAATACACTGATTTTTTTTGGGGGGGGGGTCCGGTCGTGGGGCCTGAACTCTAGGCTTGGGCACTGTCCCTCAGCTCTTCAGCTCAAGGCTAGCGCTCTACCACTTGAGCCAAAGCACCACTTGCGGCTTTTTTCTTTTTGTTTATGTGGTGCTGAGAAATCGAACCCAGGACCTCATGCATGCAAGGCAAGCACTCTACCACTGAGCCACCTTCCCAGCCCCAAGACAATAAATTGAGAACAGAAACATTTGAACATATAATAGGTACTGAAGAAATATATATTACATTATTTACATTTTAATTTGTGTATGTGTGCGCATGGTAGTACTAGGGCTTGAACTCATGGCTCATATTCTTGCTTAGCTTTTCTGCTCAATGCTTGGCACTCTACCACTTGAGCCACACTCTACTTCTGGCTTTTTGCTGATTAGAGATAAAAGTCTCATGGATTTGTCTGCCCAGGCTAGTTTCGAATCTTATTCCTTAGATCTTTCAGCCTCCCAAGTAGCTAGAATTATAGGCATAATCCACTGGTGCCTGGCTAAGCAACATTTCTGATTTAGGGAATCATACAGGGACACAGAATGAAGGACCTTGTTGGCCTTTGGTGCTGGTATTGGAGGCCTTTCATGCATGCCTCTGGTGGTATACAGTCCTGAGATGCACTGACACAGAACGAGCCCTTTGGAAATGTTTACTTTCTTAAAGTCCTACATACCACAGCCATGAGGTGTCCCCGAGTTGGGGGGCGGCGCGAGTGTTGGATTTTTGCTCTGTCTCGAGTGGGGTGGGCGAGATAGCTGTCCTCCTCAACGGTGACCTGAAGAGATGCACTGTGAGTCTCAGGTGCTCTTCAGGACTCTCTGTCCCAACCCAGAATCCCCCCAAACCTGAATATTCCTGGATTGGGAAATGAGCCTATCCCATTAACTATGTTGAGCAAGTACCAAGGTCAGGAAGGGGCGCCTTAAAGCTGGCCCGAGGCTGGCTCATGCATCATGAATGGGGGAAGAGGAACTGAGAGAAAAGATTCTGAGAAGGTAGAAGAACAAGAAGGCTTCCAAAAGGGAGAGGAAGAAGCTGATGGGGGAACAATTCAATGGGGCCCTAAACAATAATCCCACTTCAGTGAGCCACAGCTGCTCCCTCTGCCCAGTATCCTTCTCCCCATAATAAGCCCCCTGACCTCATCCAAGATGCGGTTCTTAGCTCTTGTGATAGCTGAATTGAGGGCGTTGATCCATGACTCCTTCTCTTCGGGACTCACAGCCAGGAAGATCAGGTTGGGTGCCTATGAGGGGAAGATTCTTGTTTCAGCCAGGGTTTTAGAGTTGGTGCCTCACCTTGACAGTGAAGAAATAAGAAATTATCATCTCATTCTCTTAGACTCAGCTCCTGGAAGGAGTATGATTCTGCTTCCAGAGTTATCTATAACTCAGGAAACCCATTCCCCATTCCTGCCAAATAGTATAGTTGGAAGGTGGTTTAGAAAACAACAAAGAGGAGCTAAGAAGAGCACTGGAGCTGGGTGCCGGTGGCTCACGCCTGTAATCCTGGCTATTCAGGAAGCTAATATCTGAGGATTGAGGTTCAAAGCCAGTCTGGACCATTTGGGGAACCTTATCTCCAAACAGCAAACCTGGAAGTGGAGCTGTGGCTCAAGTGGTGGAGCTACCAGCTTTGAGTGAAGAAAGCTAAGGGTAAGCACCCAGGCCCTAAGTTCAAGCCCTAGCACTGACATTGAAGAGAAAGAAAGATAAGAGCGAGGGGGAGGAGGGTGCATGCACTGGATATTAATGTGGCACTGGAGATAATTAGATGAGATTTGATAAAAGACAGGTATTAAAGATCTTTGAATGTTTTCAAAAACAGAATATGAGAGAAACACTTTCCTTGGATTTCCTCAACCACTTATCAGGGCACAAAGACCAGTCATTTTCTTTTTCTTTTTTTTTTTTTTTTTTGGGTCCAGTCATGGGGCCTGAACTCTGGGCCTGGGTGCTGTCCCTCAGCTCTTCACCTCAAGGCTAGTGCTTTACCACTTGAACCACAGCACCACTTCCAGCTTTTTTCTTTTTGCTTATATGGTACTGGGGAATCGAACCCAGGGCCTCATGCACGCAAGGTAAGTGCTCTATCACTAAGCCACCAGACCAGTCGTTTTCTCTCAAGAGACATGTGCACATGCAGCAGTATGTATGTGAGGTGTGGGAGAGACAGATACGATCTTTGTGGCTAAAGGCTGGCATGCCTGGAGGGAAGGAAACAGCCACAGTATATTGCAAGTGATATAATAAAAGTCAGCAGGAGCAATCCAGGGCCTCTGAGGAAGGGACTTGGAAGGTGGTTCAGTGGTAGAGTGCTTGCTTGCAAGCATGAGGCCCTGGGTTCCATTCCTCAGCACCAAATAAGCAGAAAAGACTGGAAGTGGTGCTGTGGCTCAAGTGGTAGAGCCCTAGCGTTGAGCTGAAGAGCTGAGGGACAGCGCCCGGGCCCAGAGTTCAGGCCCCACGATGGGGAAACAAAACAAAACAAAAAAGAATGTGAAGAGGAAGGAGCTCTCCCTTACCCACCTCCCACCTCCTCCAGAGCTCCAGTGGCCACAGCAGCCAGAGAAACCTACCGTGTTACCAGGCTGTTTGGAGTGGGCAAGAGTAAATTTGCTATGATTTTTCTTGCTCCTGCTCTTGGATTTCCGGAGTTCTTCACACTTCTCATAGTCACTCAGGTCAAACACCTCTTGAATATTTTTCTCATCTTTTACCTAGGGGACATTTGGAGGTGAGGTGAGGAGGATAAAATTACTTAGCTGCCTCCCCTGACCCCCTCCCTCCCATTGGTTTAGATCAGTCTGGGGAGTGAGAAGAAGCCTGAGGAGGGGGAAGGATGGCAAGCTAGGAAAAGGCTATCCAGCAAAGGTGTATAAAGGCCTGTTTTTAGGGGATGAGACTGGGGCAGACTACGAGTCCCGAGTCCTCATAAGGATTTCTGTTGACCTCTCCTCAGCCAACCCCACCATTTCCAAAGCCTTTCTTCACCCACAAGCCCCACCCTGTTCTAGAGGACACAGTTTACAAGACCTAAAGGGCTCATGTCCTTACAGGGACATGGTGTGCAGGCTGCCCAGATATCCCCAAGTAAGGAAGACCCAGTTGGCCTCTGCCAGAGAAAGGAGACAAAGGCAGCACCAGTATCAGGGATAGCTGAGGACTGAGGGTCTGCTTTTGGCCTCCTGGGTCTTATGGTTTACATGGTAGTTCCTGCTCCTTCCTCTAATATATCTACTATAAAGACACTCATCCCAATGAACAACCTTCCACTTGGTTTGGAACACCCAGGAACTGGTCATGATTCCTAGGAGAAAAATGCAAAACTGGGCCTGATGTCTCATGCCCATAATCATAGCTACTAGAGACAGAGATAATGAGGATCATGGTTCTAGGCCAGCCCAGGGCAAAGTAGTTAGCAAGACACCCCATTTCAACCAATAAGCTTGGAATGGTGGTGTACACCTGTATTTTAGCCTCACAAGAAGATATAAATTGAAGAATCACAGACCAGGTTGGCCTAGGCAAAAACATGCGAACTTATCTGAAAAACAACTAAAACCAAAGAGGGCCCAAGTTGTGGAGCATTCACCCTTAGTTAGAACCCCAATACTACCACCAAAAGTTAAAACCACTAGTATCCATTTTGATAGAAGTAAAAGTAGGCTCACGTCTTCCTTGGAAGGTATTTACTCTCCTCAACTGGAAGTGTTTCCAAAAGAGCTGCCATTTCCCAAGTTCTAGAATAGGAATTGTGTACATGACCAAGTGTATATAACCTTGAGGTGGGAAAAGTGTCTCTATGACATTCCCCACTCCATCTGAGTCTTGTCTCTAACTGCCCTTCTGATTGGCTGCTGGACCTAGAGGGTTGAAGGCAGGAGTATAGACGATGATCACAGAGGAACAGCTCGTCTGTCCCTCTCTTCATTTGCTACCACATGGCTTGGCTCTGGGGCTCTCCCCCTGTCCAAGCTCCCTGGCTTTGGGCTGGAAAGTGATCAGAAGCCTTGAAGGACTATGGGTGGAGGAGTGACAAGGTGCTGCAAAGGGCATTCAAGAACAATTCCCAGAAACATAGGGCCAGGATGCAGGATGATGCATCACCTCTCCTCTCCCCTTCCTTCCCTATAGTGAGACTATCAGCAGAGCCAGAGAACTTGGAGAGGAAGGTGCTGGGCGTGTGTGCACGGCTAGGGGAAGAGAGTCACTTGTTCTGTTTTCCTTGGGGACAGGGAAGAGAAGGTTTCTATTCTGGCTTGGATGAGGCTGATAAGGAGCTCTGGGAACAAGGGACATGGGCAAAGTCAGCCCTTCATAGGGCAGGGCTAGGAGGCAGGGTGAAGCGAGTAAGCATATTCCAGTGCCAAGAAAAGACAAACATTCCTCACCCACCAGCCTTGCTCTCCACTATGTTGTTTTTTCCCCCATATCTAATTCTTGAAGCCTCACTTACAATAACTCATCTCCTATATTAGCCCCCCCCTTCCCTCTGATCCTTTATCTGTGGCTCACAGACATGGATTTTCCGCTACATTTGCCAAGAGTTGCTCCAACACAACCTCCTCTCCCACAAGGTCTTCCTAAGGTCCGGCGTCTGTTCCTACACATTAGTCCACGATCAGAAGGTGCCCTGCTCTCTGTGATAAAGAGTATCCTTTCCTGAGAGTATCCTTTCCTGAGAGCAAGCACAAAGATTCACAGCAGACACAAGGACTCTATAGCTTGAGGTAGTTATGGGAATCCTTGTCTTTTTGATAAGAAGTTAAAAAAAAAGAAAGATTTGTGAAAACTGGGAAAGAGGGTTAGGATTACTATTATTGTTTTGCATTACACATAAATTACAAATATCATACTATGATTTTTTTTATTATTTTATTAATTTATTTTGGTGCCAGTTCTGGGGTTTGAACTCAGGACCTGGGCACTGTCCCTGAGGCTCTTTTTTTCAAGGCTCATTCTACCACTTGAACCACAGCACCACTTCTGGCTTTTTCTACATATGTGGTACTGGGGAATGAAACTCAGGGCTTCATGCATGCTAGGCGAGCACTTTACCACTGAGCTACCTTCCCAGCCCATACTATGATTTTTAAAAATCTTGAATCCACTGATTCTGAGAAGTAGTCAGAATAAAGACTAGAGTCTTCTGGTAGTTTCTCCCCTAACCTAGGCCCACTGTAGCATGAAAACTGGCTCTGAAGAAGAGCAGCATCAATATGCTGTTCCCTCTTTTCCAATGCCCTTCTCAGCAGGAACAGTTGGCCCTGGGTTAGTCAGGTGCTCCTGACTCATAGGACGACAAGCAGTCCAGGCTGAGGTCATTCCATCCTTCTCTGGCTCTTTCTACCTTCCTTCACACACAAGGTACCCATTCTTTCACCTCCAGACTGTGCTTTGGACAAAAATTAACAAGAAAACACAATTGTTTTTGTTTCTTCTACATTTAACTGTCCTCTAGCTTCCCGGGAGCTTGGTGGAATGGAGTTCTGTCTGCTTGTTTCAGTGTCTTGCCATTATGAAGTTCAGAGAATACACTTTGACACTTGCTTATCTTTTTTTTTTTTTAACCGGAAACCCAGAAAATTGTGGAGAAAACTTTCAGTAGGATCTGCCTGTCTTCTTTCACTTGGAGTCCTAAGACTCCATCAGCAAATTTCTAGCTTAGTGGCAGCTAGGATGAAATACTTTCCCACAGGGTCTCTCCAGTGGCTTAGTCCTTCCCTCATTGTATTAGTAGCAGCTCTTTACAGATGAGTACTTGCTCTTGGGCTGCAAGTATGTCTATTTCAATACCATAAAAGGATTTATTTACCTAAATACAATCTACTGACTGTGTCGACTTCTGAAAGCAGAAGGGGTTAGAACTCGGGGAGGACTTCCCAGTCAGTTCTGGGTGAGGGAACCCAGAATCAGGGAAAGAAGGGCCACCGGAAGGAGAACATGGGACAGTCTACCAGGCTAGGCAAACACAGAGGAGCATTCCAGGAACTATTAAGAGTTACTGATCCCAAGAGTTAGGGACAAAAGGGAAAAGAGTCTGGTTCAGTGATCTGGTCTCAGATTCTGCTCCAATGTGGGCTGTAGCTTTCCTGTTTAACTATAGAGGCAAAGCAATGCAGAGACAGAGGTTCCCATGTCCATTTCTCTCTCCTTTGATACAAATTAGGCTGGCCAGGAAGGGACGGAAGTGGGATGAGGGACAGCACTATTGGTCACTGGCCCCAACAAAAACTAGCTGGCCCTCAGCTATTTTTCTGGGGTCACCAAAATCGACCACGGGTTGTGTGATTTTGATTTTGTGCACCTGATAGGACCTGCCTACACCTCTGCTTCAGGCAGGAAAGCAAAGGCCAGTTGGGCTGGGGTAGGGGGACAGGAAGGAGTGATCGGTGGAGTTCAGCAACAACAGCAAACCAACCCCCTATTTCATGAGGTCAGGACAGGGTAGGAGATGGGGAGGGGGGTGCACTTAGAACTTCTTCTAGGGCGTGTTGAGAGGGGGCTGTTTTTGCAAGGAAAAAACAAACGAACTCAACTTGGAATTCTTAGGTCTTCTCAGTAAAAGGTGACCTTTCTCTGCAGAAGAGAAGGGTACAGAGTAATGCGACCACTGAACTTGCTTCTGGAACAAATCGAGAGGGGTAGTGTGTGTGTGGGGGGGTAGGGGTGCTAGAAGCAGCCAAGCCTCATGGGGAGCGAAAGTGGGGACGGGAGGCAACAGGGATAGTTAGAGGCAAAGGGCACCTACCTCCTTCTCCGAGATGTACAGCTGGTCCCCTTTCAGCACCACATAGCGGTTTTTCCAAATCTCCCTGAAAATCCCTTTCCCGCAGAATTTCCGGACCCAGCCGACCTTCTCGGGAGGTGCAGATTGATGGTTTCCATCCTGGGGGCCCTGCCCGGGGCAAGAGAAGCCGCGGCCGGTGAACGATCACGGAGCTCGCCCCCGTCCCTCGGGCCTCCTCCACGGCTCCCCGAGCTCCCCGGTCGCCTCCAAAGCTGGAGCCGGGGACCCCTCGAGGTCTGCTCCTCACTGGGGGGAACAGGTTTTCACTCGAGGAACTCTCTTACCCGCCGCCCCCTCCCCCAAATCAGCAGCCGGACTGCGCGGGGAGGGGCCCGGGAGAGAGGGGGCTCCCCGCGGTCCCCGCGTCCGGCCCCCTCCCCCAGCCCCTCGCCACGACTAACGGCATCTTATTTTATTTCTCATTGTCTGTTCGCCGCGCGCAGCTCGAGGCACGCGGCGGCCGGTCAGCGGGGGAGGACGGGGTGCGGGTCGGGCAGGGCACAAACTAAGCCAAGTTAAAGCCCCCCGAGGCAGGTAGACAAAAGCCCCCTCTGGAGCCTCGGCGCGGGGCCGCGG